TTTAAGTAACGTCTGGAAGCTTGGAATTTGAAGGAATTGGTTGGAAGTGTGAAAATAGCAAAGGGTACGTTTGAAGTGAACTCACGATCCTGTCGCTCCTTAGTTGCAGAGCGAAACGGGTAGGGGGCCACGGGTCGCGATTCGTAGGTCGTGCGAGAAGGACTAGCCTGCATCAGTCTACGTCGCGTCCCTTGCAAAAGGGTACGCTCGTCTTCACGTCGATCGCTGATTTACTTATCCCTCTATTCGGGTTAACACAACACACAACTACGACAGATCGTTCGACCACACATTAGCCGTTTCTGTGAATATAATCGCGGAACCGAGATCCTTGAAACGAAAAGGACAACACACCGTGAAAAAAACCTCATGGTGCCTCTGTGAAGGAACCTTGACGCAACCTAGGAACGACTTGACGCCGTTTCGAATCGGCCGTACCCAAGACTCTAAATTGACCGCACAGATATTTTTTCCGGACACCTGACGCGCGTGTCGTGAAATTTTCTCTTGGTGATTCGCTGGGCCCGATCCGCGGGTGTGTGCGTGTGCGTGTCGTGCGCGTGTGCATCGTGTCGCGAGCGGTTTGCGCTCCTTTACCTACACCGCTTTTTATCGTTCCCATAAATCTCGCTACGGAGAGGAGAGAACTACATAGAACGCGCGCGACTCGGTACTTTTCGGCACGCGGCCGAATACCTCCGATCATCGGTCCCTCGGAACTTCCCCCTAGCGATCCGATAGGGAAGAAGGGACGCGCAAAGAAGAAAATTCAAAGGAAGTCCAGTTAAGCGAGGCCGGGGCTGACGTGCCGCCACTGATTTCGTTCACGGATGCGTCCTCGCCAGACATAACCTGTATGCGCTCCATGAACAGGAAGTTTCTCGTGGTAGGAGTGGGCGGTACGAAGAGGGAGACGCCGGTCGAGCCTTAAATATCGATTTTGGCATGCAAGAGGTACGATAGTCCGTCCGTTTCCAACGTGTCTCCTCTACCTTTGTGCATCTCCATGCTGACGAGTTTTGACAGTTGAGTGCGAGAGTTGGTGCGTCGAGAGGAATATCGCGTGCATCGACACGATACGAAAACAATATGGTGGCGCGGCATATTCGAGCCGAAAATTAACCGCACAGTGAACCGTGTTATATATATTTTTTTGCTCGACCAATAATAGAACGCAATGTGTGTAACAGCAACGTCGTTGTTTTAAACGGAAGGAAATAGGGGAAAAAGTGTCGCGGTTGAAAATGTTGTTTTCGGATCATCGTGTGTACAGACACTTTGTCTATAAAACACGTTTGAGGCAGAGAAATTCGGTGACTATCGATCGATCGTCTTATTAATGCTGGGCCAAGACGCTATTTCTTGGGTCCGTTTCACGGAGATTTCGAGGTTTTTCGACAATTTTGCACACCGGAGGTGCTCGAGATTCGATCCGATCGCGTTCACTCTGGCCATCGGGATCACACGTATTCGTCCAGGGCAAGCTAACCAAGCGAAGGAAAATGATATTGCTCCACGCTGCGTGCGTTCTTTCTCGTAACAAGTGAAGCCCGCGATGATAGTGGCCGAACGTGATATATTTAATACCGAAGGAATGGAATAATTTCGATATACACGTGATATTATAACGCATAGAATAGAAGGAGATTCAAGAATATATATATAAATATACATATATATATATATACACACACACATATATATTTCAAGAAAAAAGGAATCAACGAAACTGCCAGTGTCTTCACAGATTTAATGATCCCTGTCGGATATAGGACATATTCAACTATTATGATACGCAAGCTCCATTTGTAAGGGTCTCTTTGTTGCGTTTACTGATCAAGTAGACGATGACATCATGGTGCAGCATTGCCGATTGAGAACTCCATGGACTACGGAGACAGTGTTGGTAACATACCGATGAACCCTTCGGCACTGTTGCCTGTTTTTTTCAATACGCCGAAGCTGGCGATAGTTCTCTAAGAAACCACTGGAAGAACGATTCGTACGGAGGAATAATCATTTTCACCACGCAGATCGAACGGCGGCGTGCAATTTAGGAACATGAACGAACGAATAACACGCGAAACCGTATAAGAAAATAATATAAACGACGAAACTAAAAACAAAGATATCCCCTCGGCGTTAATAGATTATAGTCTCTTCACGATAATTCCTTTCAAATGAACGCGTTCACCGGTGATCGCCAATTAAATCTTGACATGTCGATTATTTGAAAGCAAAATAATAGCAAAGAAGAAAAACACAGGCAAAAAGAGAAACGAAAAAACGAAAGAGGAAAAAATATCAAGAGTTATCCACGCGTCATTTCGTTCGATATTCGGTAAAAAAAAATCGTTTCGGCCAAGACGCGCCGCTAACACTGGATAAAAAAGAAAATCTACATCGGGAAGAATGGTTTCGAGGTATGGCGTCTCGAAGGAGGGCGCAGTGGGTGTTGCCGTAGGTGTAGGACCTATGCACTGTGTACTGCCACATTGCGGGGGACCCCATCACCACCATCACCTTTCGGCACCCCATCCACAGAATCCGCAGCCGGGTCACAACCACCACGTGCATCCGGCCCATCAGCCACCACCCTCGCCGAGTCCCCACTTGAATCATCAGCTGAGCCACCATCAACTGACCGTCAACATTAACCATCTGAGTCATCAGCAACAACAACAGCAACAGACACAGCATCAGCAAGCACCGCCGCAATATCGCGTGGTCACCGCGAATGCCAGTAAGTACGAGCACCAGAGGGCGGACAGAACGAACGGAGAGGTTACCACAGAGAGAGATACTCTTTAACGGGGATCGCACACACAGTATCTTTCTACTAGAGAATTTCTTTGGAAACGACGGAAACGACGGAACATCTCGGTATCCGACGATCACTCTTGGAATTTCCCGACTTTTCGCGACTTTCGCGCGCCGGTCACCAGTGACCGTCACACCGAACGTACCCGACCGCGATTTATTCGTCGACGCGCCGCCCGCTGATTGCCGGTTATACATCCCTGGTATGATTATACTCTTCCGTTTGGTCGCTTCGAGGCGTGCTAGTGGATCGTTTAACTGAAACTCATACACGTGTCGCAGAATCTCCACATGTACTTTGACACTCGATTAAACGATGCACCGGTCGGTCGATTGTTCGTCTATCGATTACGCGGGATTAATTAACGGATTAAACGAACGCGAATTAGAAGCGTGCGCGCGTGTGGTCTTCGAGCAAGTCCGATCTAGTGAGTATAGCTGACGCATATTCAGTTTCCTGCGAATTTTCAATGAACCTCGGAATGGACATGTTTACAAATGACAATATCTTCGCTGTCGAGTAGTCGTAGCTTATTGTTTATCCGAGCAGCGACGTTGGAATACACTAAAATTCATCAGCGAATCGCTTAATGATTTTATTTTTAAAAATGGAAATCTTACAGGCAATCTTTTCGTTAGCTAGCAAATAGGACGCATTTAATGCACTCTCGCTTGTGCTGATTTCAAGGAACGTTTGCATGAACTGGATTCACATGAGAGCCAAACTTTGATTTGCTCCATCATGGACATACATTCTCTTGACCAATGGAAGCATCGTCTCGAAGTTACGTTACAGCCTTACGCTTCACTTTTTTATTTTCCGATTTTGATTATCGCCACACGCGTTGCCAAGGGAGGACGCGCGTACGAATCGAAGTCTCGCGATTCGACGTACACTTTGTTGCATATCGTTTGTTTTGCTTCGATAATTGTACACGATACACCGCCCTTTTATCTCGATCGGTAAATCATTCGTTGCCTACCGGTGCGTGTGTATAGCCTCGTGTGCGCGTAACTATATCGTGCACCTGTGCGTACGTAGGAGATGCGTGTACACGTAGCCCGTTATTTTCGAGCACACTGGAGGTAGTTAATTTGACCTGGTGCCCTATCTGTCAGAAGTCGAACCGTTTGAGTCTATTTGCAGACACACGGCCAAGCTCGGCTTGTACTGAATAATCTCCGCGAAAATAAGTTTGCCGTACCCCGTGATAGTAATCTCAGCTATTCTCTCCTATTCTACGCTTTTTCGAACGTCTTCGTCAACTTCCAGAGCATCTCAGTCGACGAGCTGGAGTGCTCGTTATTTCCTCGAATTAAATGATTTTCATCTCTCTGGTTTTTCCCAAGGAGACCTTTGATTTCTCGTGTGGTACAGTTATTTCATAGTTTCCACATATTTCGTTGGTATTCCGTGCCGTTTGCGTCGAGGTGACCAGTGTCGCTAAGCAGTTTCTCGGTTGGTAAATAACTCTCGTGATCTACGAACGGTTACCGTATCGATATATCGGACAGCTTAGTATTTAGGTTAGTCCTTAGCGCCCCTGAGCGGCATTGTAGACAATTCACGAAATAGGTCAATCGATAAAATGCTTTCTACCTTGTATAGTTGCGAAGGTACGTTCGATTCTTTCCTCTTGCCTGACACGTTTCGCCAGCGTTCTCCTCATTTTTTTTTGTTCGTGCGTTTCAAGAAATTCCAGCGATAACAGTTATTTCGATGGCCATTTTAAAAACTGATCGCTCTTTTAACGGTCGTTCACATCGAAACAGCTACGCCGGGTTTATCGAATCGCCGAGGAACCTCGGACCTGTCGTTTTTCTATTGTACGTGGAAAATATGTTTGCACAGCGAGAGAGAGAGTAGCACTTCTCTTTCTCACGTGTGTATCTCAACGAGATTCACGGTTCGTGTATCGCCGATTAATACGGTAACAATTATTTTTTCAGATACAATACAGCCCCAATCGTTTCACTTCGTAAATTAATTTACTAATTACTCCGATAAGTATAATTCCGATAACGAGAGGTTATTTTTCAGTAGACGTTGTACTATCGCGAAAACAAGATATAATTCGAAAAATAACTACGTCGATAGCACGTGAATTACCAGTCTCTCGAAGGATATATTGTATATATTTTTCTCTCCTCGAAAGTTTCGCTCTAGCCAGATTAATTTTACTTGTGATTCTTAATCTAATTGTTGACAGTGTTTATTATGCACACGCGCACGAACACACGCAAATAAGCGTTTATAAATATCCGGACACTCGGTGTATGTGCGGTAACAGTAAAATGTGTAAATTAATGCCTAACAGCAATCTACCTTATCTACCTTCTAAATAACAGACGATAAATTTAATTTATTCGTATTTCTCGCAACATTAAACTCGTAATTCGCCGATCTATAAATCGGTTCCTAATTTTACCGAACCTGTATGCTTGAAACAAGCTAACCGTAAAAAATCTGTCAAACATTTTGTTGAAATTAACGCTAATTTCGTCGTTATACATTTCTATGTAAACATTAATTTTACGATATGTTTTCCTCGGTGTAAGAATAACCAGTCATTTGAACAGATTTCTCTGCGCGTTAGTTATAAAAGTACAGTTTATCAGTTCGGCACGTTAGCGTTGGCATCTATTGGTCGCCACGTGGCCGATGCATGATTCGTTCTAACCTCACTTCTACTTTCACGTGTATGATCTGCGAATAACCTCCGACTGCTTTTTTTGAGGTTAACATTCCCAGTATCGCTCCGAGAGCGTGTACTGTTATCGAGGGATTATAAATGAAATCAAACTGCGAGGATATAGTTTTCATTGTCTCCGCACATTACGTCGAGATTTATTGGTGGAAGTAGGGGAGTGGAAAAGACAGAATCAGAGAGGGAGGGAATTGGCACCGGAAATGACGTATTGCATTCTGGATTGAATTTTCCAGGCCACGTTCTTTCACTACATTAATACGCACACGTGTCTTAGATCAGCAATCACAAATATATATATATATACACACATATTCGAGTACCAACACTTTGTAAGCTTGCGAAAATAACAGTATTTCACACTCTTACGTGCAGAAGTAAGATTATAGCACTATCGATGGGTATCATAGCTAAATTCAAATATGATAAATAAAATTTCCTAAAGTAATCCAAAGAATAATCGATTTCAATAATCATTCGAGATGTATAAATACGAAGCGTAAAATGACACATCATTTGCGTAAGGATTATTCTTACTTCACTACTTCTTTTATTCGAAATATCCAAGCACTCTTTATGTAACACGTATAGGTATAAATATATTTTATATTAAACTGAATGGAAAACAGGAACTGGAACATATTGGGTTTACAGGAACGTTTTAATGAAAAAAATGATACTTCGAGGGATCGGTGAAATAGTGTTAATCTAAAATTGCAGAAAATACGCAAATGTCCCATTTCTATTATCCAAACGACCAGCCGTCATGGACCAATCCATATCATGATTTACAAGGAATATCATTGAATTTTCGAATATCGAAAAGAAAATTCCGCGAGGTGTATCTGTAATTTACATGTTTCCGTGGTACTTAATACGATCCTGGCGATGGAGTTCGGCCTCGCCCCCCTTTCGTGGCAATCAATGCACTTACGGGACTACAGATAGCAGCACTGCTCCGGTCCCTGCCCACATGTGCAAAGATGGCCGTTCGCGAGGCCGTCTTCTCGGTTTCTTTGCTCACGTTTGAGCCTTCCTGTCATCCCATGGTTCTCACGTTGTAAAGATACATTCGTGCGAATAGGTAAAAAGGCTCGCGTGACGAAACACGGTAACCAGCTCCGTGACGATCATTAACGGTGAGCGA